ATTCAATTTTCACATTTTCCAAGTAAACTTTTCATCCATTTGGGCCTCTGTTGTATATTTATGGAACGTTAGGGATCTCCATTGACATGAATTGAAAGTTAGAGTAAAGTCTACAAAAATTAAAAAGGTTTGAGACCACTGTTGCAATATACCCTTAATATTATATTGGTTATGCAGGTGTACTCTTTGATAAAGAAGGAATTTAGCCCCTCGGGGCACATCCCAACTGTCAAAGGACGGGGCTCTTAGTTGCTGACAGTTCAGAGGCCGCGCGTTCAATTCGCAGGGCTCTTGGAAGGCAAGCTCCCTCCGGAACGCAGGATTTATCCTGAAGGTAGAAGTTCTCCTGGAAGGCAAAATGTAATATGTGGTGACTCGCTGGCACTTTGACATACCAGTGGAGGGGGCTCTTGGACCCTGGCCAGTTTGGGAGCACATCTCGCGATTTACCTGATCTGCATCTTGAGGGGTCAAGGCGTAGACTGTGTTGACTACGTGGAGTGGAGTTGGAGGGGAAAAGAGGAAAACTAAAGTTTGTACTTGTCCAATAGATTTCCATGAACAAATAATTCTTATTCGTTATAAATTTGTAGGGTTGCTAACACATACTTCTACGAGATTTCGTTTGGCTTCCGACTAAATATCCTCAAATATGAGAACTTTGTCGTTTTCCAATTGATTGACTCTAACCATTTTAATTTTCACAAATTTTACTCTAACATTTAATTTGTGCTAGCCGATAACCTTAACCTTTCATTAATATGTTGCAGGGTCCCAATCATCTATTTGAGACTTGGAAATGTGAAAATTAAATATTTTGACCATTTCACACAAGGCCATTTTCGTCAATTCCATATAAACTAAATTTTAAAAAAATTATAAAAATAAAATTCTTCATCTTCTTCACCCCACCCCACCCTACCCTACCCTATCCTCAAAAAGAAAACAGAAAACAAAATATCATCGGCCACCGCCAGCCAATCTCTACGTGTCCATCCTTTTTCGAAAACCAGGAAACTAGCTCACTGATAAATTTCCCTATCCTCTCTTTCAATCTTCTTCCCGTATCAAACAAAAGTACATCCCTAACCAAAGTCATAAACATCACATGAATCCCCCTCGAATTGTACAGCTCCACATCCCTCCTTAAGTGCTTGCGTTTCATTGGATGTTCGTAGATTGGTTGTAAGAGCGCTAAAGATGTATGAGAAGTTTTGAGGTAGAAAATTGGGCATTTGGAATCAATTTGGACCCAAACTAAGCGTCGGGCATTGGAAGCATTGCTGTCGTCGCTCGCCCACCGCCCACCTAACGTTCGAGCGATGCATACCGCTTGCCTATTCAAGACTACCACTCAAGTGTCGTATATAACCAGGAAAAATTTGTTTCATTCTTTTGACGCGATTTTTTAATCTTCTTTCCAATCATAACATATTCTTTTAGATTATATCTATAGTCCACGTGATTTTTAGCTTTCATATGACTTTCTATGAGTTAGAAACACAATATTTTATATTCTTTCTTCATATTAATAAATTATTCATTCATTTGTCAATTATTCTTATGTTGTAATTGCTATTTCATATATTGCTATATAATCTTGTTTCTTCTATTCCTAACAAGTGGTATCAATGTACATAAATTTTGTTTGAATTCTAATAATATTATTGAGAAATGAATTATATTGAGAAATGAATTATAGGTTGGATGTTGACTGCAAACACCATTGTTGGTAATCGACCGTTCTGATTTCCTTTTTAGGGATGGGGTAAGGGTTGGGTTTGGGGGCGGCGAGGGGGAGGGGAAGGGAGAAGATGGTACGACTTTTCTTTTTTAGTTTTTTTTTTTTAGTTTATATGGGATTGACAGAAATGTCATTGTTTGAAATTGTCAAAATATTCAATTTTCACATTTTCCAAGTCGACTTTTTATCCATTTGGGCCTCTGTTGTATATTTATGGGATGTTAGGGATCTCCATTGATATAAATTAAAAGTTTGGATAAAATCTACAAAAATTAAAAAGGTTAGAGACCGTTGTTGCAATATACTCTTAATATTATATTGGTTAGGCAGGTGTACTCTATGAAAAATAAAGAATTTAGCCCCTCGGGGCACATTCCAACTGGCAAAGGAATGGGCTCTTAATTGTTGGCCATTCAGAGGCCGCGAGTTTGATTCACGAGGCTCTTGGAAGGCAGGCTTTCTCCTGGAACGCGAGATTTATCCTGGAAGGCAAAAGTTCTCTCATGGGAGGCAAAATGTAATATGTGTTACCTGCTAGGCATTTTGGCAGACCAGTGGAGGGAGATCTTGGACCCTGACCAGTTTGGGGCACATTCCGCGGTTTACCTGGTCTGCGTTTTGAGGGGCCAAGGCGTAGACCTCAGGATTAGTCGTCGAAGGTGGACACCTGGGTACCAAAAAAGAAAAGGAATTTGATTGTGACTTCTAGTATTTGAGTCATTTCACTTAGATAAGAGATTTAATGCAATTCGAGATTGAACAATTAAAAGTGTAAAAGTAAAACTAAAATTGAAATTTCTTGTGTGTTTGACTACAGGATAAAGAGTAATATTACGTAACATCATTGGTATTTAATACCAACTTATGTGATAACATAATAACATTAAAATGATGTGCCCAATAAATATGGGATTTGGAACTTGGACGGTTGGACTTATCAACTAACTATATATGAAGGCGAATAAATGTAAAAGGTAAAATGAAGGAAAATCAGAAGTTGTAATGTTATTTGTATAAAATGTAGAATGAGTGAAGTCGGAGGAGATAAGGAGAAAACCAACATTTGTAATTGTCCAATAAGTGTCAATGAACAAATAATTCTTATTCATATTAAATTTGGAGTCACGTACAAGAATTTTTTCTCTACGAGAATAAGATGATAAGAACTAAGAGAATAAATCTATGTATTCTTGTGCCATCCTCCCATTCCGTTACACAAGGACATACATAAACACGCGCACGCGCCCGCGCCCACAAAAATAAAAATTGCACAACTTTTCCAGGAAATAAATTCTCCTCTATAGTCGTTGTACTCTTTTAATTGGCTTATGGAACCCTCCATCAGTTCACTACGCGAAAGGATAAGGGAATAGAGGGGCCTACAAATTAAGGTCCAAACAGAGTTCTCTGATAAAAGTAAATGGAGTGAGTTAAACTGGTTTAAATGCACATCTACTAGCCAGCACAGCGCCAGTACAGTTAATGTTCGACATAAGAAGGTTTCATTGCACATTCGATTGAAGTTCCATCTTTTTTTGCCCTTTTATCTTTACCACATTCCTTCTGAATGCTTACAACTCTCTAATGACACTGTAACACTACTCGTATAGTCGTATTGTTGCCAGTGGGATATAGTATGTATAGAAGAGGAACATCGTTTGAGATTTGTTTACGAGATTCAAACTTGATTAAGATCAAAATCCTTAAGGTTGGAAATGGGGTAAACTTTGTCGAGCGCTATGCTTGCTTTTCACGAGATGCCTTTTAAAATTGATTCTCACTAGATATCGTTAAGTATGAGACTTGCCACTTCCATATTCAGGCTCAAGATTGGGAGGGAGGGTTATGCTTTATTTGTCGATGTTGTGGTTCGAGTTATCACAGATTTAGTGTTAAGCGATAAATTTCATATCAAACGAAAATGAAAAAATAAACTAACATATAAAGGTTTGGACTACCCTTCTTAATAATATTGACATTTTAAGATGAAATACAAGTTTTAATATAGTATCAGATTTTATTAAGTTTTAACGATGAATTTAATCCGATTAAAATTCAAAAAAATAAACATACGAATTACAAGATTTGATTGCTCAAACATGTTACCATATTGCGGAAGCATGTTAAGAGATAGATTCTACATCAAATAAAGATTAAAAAAAAAAACCAATATATAAGAATTTAGACCTCTCTTCTTAATAAAATTGATCATTTAAAATGTAATCATATATCTTAATATAGTATTAGAGCCTATTAAATTCTAACAAGCAATTCGATCCGATTAAGACTCAAAAAATGAACACGTGAATTTCAAGGTTGATTTGCTCAAATAAGCTACATCTAATGGGAACATGTTAAGAGATAAATTCTATATTCAATAAATATTTAAAAAAAATAGACCAATATATAAAGATTTGGACTACTCGTCTTAATAAGGTTGACCTTGTAAGAATTTGTGGATTTGCTTCTCGGAGGTCATATTCCCGAAGTTGAAACTAAATTATTTATTTTAAAAGTTAAAAATAAGTTCCATGACTTTGAAACTAGACTTAAGCTATATGTATATTCCTTGTTGATATTTTCTTGACATCATCTTGTGTGTTAAAATCTGACTATGATGTAATAGATTGTTGTAAAAATTCATGGGCTTTGTCAGGGGTACACACGTAATGGTTTATATAATTACATGTGACACATATCAAACCTTTAATTCAAATCTTACACTTTCACATCAACTATCGGATGATTGCCACATCACATTATGTACCCTTATACGTACATAAATTCATGGAGATGATGGATGTCACGTATTAAAATGTCGAACTTAATGTCAACTAAAATGTATATATGAGGTGTAATTGTTGGAACTATTCAGTAATAGTTATCAAATTAGGCCCATGTTTGGTACCCATTAAAAATTTCATTTTCATTCTTCTACTCATTTTCAATCACACATTCTTCATTAAAATAATATTTTTCATCACATTAATAACTTCTCCTTCTTTTTCAACGATACATTCTCCATCAATCTACTACTCTAAAATACATTTTTTTAAAATAATATCCATCAAACACACCCTAGTTTCGGGCAAATGGAACCACTCATTTCTTGTTTAGTGGAATGATGTGGGAATAAATAAGGAAACTTCTTGATGGTGTCCACACCCCCCTCACATACCAAGAATTTTCCAATAAATAATTGATCCCAATAAGCTGATGAATTGACATTGAAATCAATCACGATGAACCTAGATCAATGGCTACAATCACGCCAGACAATTTACAATCAATAGGCAGCAACCAGGCCATCAAATCATACACTCCATTCTCTAATATAAATTGTTCTCAACTGCTCCTTGAATTTGTCTACTTTGTCCACTTTGAAAAAGCAAAAAATCAATCAGTTCTTCACCACCAAAATATGTCGTACCGAAGAAGCACAGCCTCCTCAATCTCGGAAGTCTTTTCGTTAAACCCTTTGCCATATCCAGTCCTACTAATTTTGGCTGTGGTTTTCATATTTCTTGGCCTCCAGTTTTATGTTTCATATGAATCAGTGGTGGAGTCCACGGAGGAGAACATGGGGTGGCTACTAATGGCCGCGCCACTGGTTTTACTCTTCGCTGTGCGGTGGCTATCGACGGTGGAGAGTCCGGGGTGGTGGTTCGGGTCGCCTTGGGACAGGCGGAGGACCACGTATTATATGCCGTCCGAGGGAAGCTCGCCATGGGGCGTGGCAGCGTTGATATTGTTGTTACTTGTTTTAGTGCAGTACCAGTCCGCTTTTCTCGAGAGTTGGTTTATATGAAGCTTAGAAAGATTGGAAAGTTCTACTTAAAAACCGCTTTTTAACGTAGTTTTGTTTGTATGTTATGGGGATTTTGTTAGATAAACTTCACAAGATTTGAATTTTGATGATGTTTAGGCATCATGATTATGTATATAGCATGGAATGTTACTTGATTATAGAAATCTGGTGTTTTTTTGTTTTTGTTAGTCAAAAAATTGGTTTCTTCAGATTTCATCATCAAAATTTTGGTTTCTCTAACCATGGTTAAGTGGGCATCACTATGAATGACATAGTTTGGCTGCTTTTCAGTTCTTGAAATTAAGTGCAAGGGAAATTTAGATCGCGGGATCTTAATCCACAAGGATCAAGTTCATGGTCATCAGTACTCGATTTCCGTCCAAATATATGTTAAAATATCATAGTTTCTTTCCCAACTTAGAGCTCAGGCAATAAGTTAAAAATCTTGTTCTTATCTACGATCAAGATTTCTCCATGAGGATGACGAAATTGAGCATTGATTTCTTTACTTGTGGTTAAGTGGGCATCACTATGATTCATGATTGACACATAAATTTTGTTTGCGTTTTCCGTTCTTTAATTAATTATAGTATGAGCTCCTGTTTGGTGCACATTTTGAGTTCAAGAATGCATTTTTTATTTTGATGTGATGGGGGATATGTGATTGAAAAAGAAGGAAAAATTGTTAATATGATGAAAAATATTTTATGATTGAAGAATGTGTGATTAAAAATAAGTAGAAGAATGAGAATAAAAAAAATAATGTGACTCAAACATGGGCTGATTAAAAACATTGTATCATTGATTTTTGTCCGACTAAAATAAAGATGGATGAAGTGAAAAACGCTATGTTCTACAATGGTTTTTATTTTTTTATTTTGTTATTATTTTGCAATTAAATTTGTAGTTGGTTGAATTGATCAATGTGTACAAGAAATTGCGCCTCAAATTCAAGTTAACCCATGAAACAAGCAACCAATTTTCAAACAAGTCATAATCACAATTCACATACAAACGCTACAACAAAGATGTTTATGGTCAAGTCTAAGGAATCATTAGGTAAGATTTCTACTTTCGTAGAACTTTTTGCGAGATCTACTCCAAGTCAACTTTCTCTAAAAAAAAATTTAATCAAGCAAAAAAAATTATCCAAATATCTTCAAAAATAATTTTTTTTCCAATTATAAAAGTAATTTTTGACTTTTCAAAAATCTTGTCAACAGAACGCTAAGATTGAATTGAGATGCTCATTTTACGATTACGTTATTATTTTTTAAAAATATACAATGTTGGCTAATTTAAAATGACTCGTTTTGTATACACACCCTCTTGAAAATAATTGGTCCAACTAGAGATGGTAATGGGTTGAGTCCCGTATGCACATGAGCTCGACTGGTGCTCATTTATAATGAGCCGAGCTTTTGTTCAGCTGGTAAAAAAAAAACCTTTTTTTTAAAATAAAAATAAAAAAATTAACAATTTGTCAAGACGAGCCCACGAGCTCAGCTTGTTGGCTCGCCTAACGAGGTAGCCTGCTCAGCTCGAACTCTTCATTTGACGAGCCCGAGCTGCCTTTTCATGAGCCATTCGACCCGCTTGCCACCACTAGGTCCAACATTAATGGAGGGGAAATCATGATAACCTTTTAATTAATTTATATATCTTTTAACTAATTAAATATAGTCTAGCGATGCTTGCGGCAGATATTTGCATATAAATATGTTGTAAATAAATCCCAGAGACAAGATAATATAAATATATATAAATATTACCCCACCTAAATTATGTTGTGTATTTAAAATTCAAACAACTAGTATTAATTAAACTACACTGATAGAGGCTTATTTCATTTCCAAATTCTTGTTATAAGTAACCTGATGCTTACAGTCATTCTGCTATAAGCTCGTCTCGTTCTAACGTTAAAGGTAACGACAATTTTGTTATACAGCATTACACTCAGACTGGACAGTTTAAACTGCACCTCAGTCTGATCACGATAGATGGAACCAGTGGGAGCGAAACGAGGACTGGTACGACACCAGCACTAGCAGCAGCACCACCAAAACAGCCACGCCCCAGGGGAATCCTGCCATTCCACGTGCCCACTCGTGCCTTACGTTTCTAGGTTGTGAAGACCAGAAGTTGGGTAATGAACTTGTGAGGCTCGAACGCATGAAGAAGATCAGAAAAACAGGCACCAAGTATAGGAATAACTTGAAACTAATAGCAGCATTATACATCTGATCCTTGTAGCTTTTATATTGAGATAGAGACAACCAGAACATAAAAACGGCGAATATGCCCAACAATGGGAGGGGTGGGGCAGAGATCGAGCCTAGAGACTGGGTCGTCCACCCTTGTTTCCATTCTGGACTTTTCCTTATATAAACCCGATCCATTTCCTTTCGACTTCTCTTGATTTTCATATATGGTTTATATGGAAGAGGACAGAGGTAAGGTAACTTGATTACTAAGGTAGCTGTGGTACAAGGCATATGTGCCTTGAGTGTAGGATTTCCCTACCTACCTTTACTGTTGGATTACATCCTACTCAAGCAGTTGATACCTATTTGTATCCCCTATATAGAAATCTGAGGCATGTTAAATAAATGCATTCCACTACCATGTCATATTATAGAATCCCACGTGGATCAGTGAAAGTCTACAGAAAATAACAAAGTAGTTTGACTTAATTTTAAGCACAATCAAGCATATACATATAAGAGACTTGTACAAACTACTATCATGGCCTTTACAACATGAAAGTAGAAATGGGACAGGTCGTCACCTCAAAAACTGAAAATATCGAGCATGTGTGACTGGTCGTTACATATTAATTGAAAAGTCCAAACTGAGTCCAAATCTAAAAAAGAGAACATATCACTCCATGGCATTAGTGTTGATTGCAGTATGTTACATATATTCAGGCAATTTTGCAATAAATTATAAATCGTGATACAATTTCAGCATGCCCAAGCTTAGGATGATCCTAGCATCAAGTAAAAAAGATAAACTCTATTATTACATTACCTAACATATGCTTATTCTAATAGATGAAGCAACATATGATGGAACTTCACAGTTTTATGGACAAAACAGAAGGGATCGAAATACCATCAAAGAGAAATAGCTCATAATGTCAGTTGTGAGATCCTTTTGCTACAGATAAATTCCTTGGCAAAAGAAAGAAGTAGCTCAATTTGTAGATCCTGTTTAGTATGCAATTACTAAAAAGGAACATATCATTCACAAGACATAACAGGGATAGTCGAACGACTCCAACCAAACGACGATCCTTTCTAGTAAGGTTTGACAAGAATACACAAAGCACGAGCATAGATGTACAGTTGAGCGGAATATCTGCTTGCTTACCAAAAATATATAGTTTAAGGCTAAACCTTGCAAGACTGAAAAAAATACAGAATGATAGCAATTTGAGTGATAGTAACTGGCACTTGCACAGTATACTCTGATAACACATAACATCAATTCATCTTATCAATGTGCCAAATACACAACTTGGTTGTCACTCACCGAGTGAGCCATATTAGGTGCAAATTGCATTGGTTTTCATTGTTATAGTAGTAATTAATACTCTTCTGCATGAGTAGATCAGGAACCAATTTAATTAGAACTGGCACATAGACCATCTACAGAAATAATTATGGACTCCAAGAACACAATACAATGGGTCAGACATACTAAGAAAATATACTATTATCAATTAATGGAACTATGCCACCTTGTAGGATCAGGTAAGTATTATTTTTCAGCAGGAATACAAACCCAGGTGTCCTAACCTTCTCTGTCACACCCACCCATCGGAACGCCAGGAAGTACCCAGAACAAAATTTTCAGCTTTCTGCATGTCAGAAACGTTTATGTCAGATATTGGCCACAGTACTGCTAGATATTTAAATTCAAAACATGGAACCACAAAATGAAGCCTTTACCACTGAACTATAAACATATGCAAGTCAAAAAAAACCTTCAATATCTAATATATGTTTAACGTATATATTGAAAAAAAATTAAAATATTTTTAAAAATGTTGCCAAGGCAGTCACCCCTCCCCACCCACCCACCCTGTCCCTCCGCCCTTGGATATCATGGTAAAGATAAGTGGATGATGGCCTGTGTAAGAAGATGAGTAACTAGTGGAAATGCAGAAAACTGTAATAACCTGGTTATCCCCTCTTTCTTTGGTCAGCAATCGCTCTTTGCACCACCAGCAATGCTAGTAGATGATGTAGCCTGCAAACTGTGGGTAGACAAACACCCACTTGAAGAACTTCCATCAGTGTGGCTGTTTTCCTTCCTAGGCAATTTTTTTGATTTTCTTTGTTTCGACGAGGAATCCTGCTTGCAACTCCAATTGTGTTATCATCATTATCATTAATTTCAAAAGGTTCCAGAACAGCATAACAAAAACTTATCAGACCTAAATGTCATTTACTCACTAGGTCTGACGTAGATCCAGGTGTCTTAAGCTCTAGATCAGTTGCAACGTCATTGGAATCATCACTTTTTTCTATACTACTCTCCCCATCTGATGACTTATTCCTGGAATCTTGTTTGCTCGAAACATGGGACCTATTACCTGGCTGTGCAACTCGAGATACATGTGTTGATTGCTGCTCCATCATGGTATTATGGGCCACATATGGAACAAAAGTCGTGGGATTTTGATTCCCATAGTAGGGGTATGGCTGCACGGATGGATGCATGGGAATTGGTCCTGTGGGTATGGGCATTGGCATTGGCATTGGAAAAGGATAAGAAGGTGGGTGCATGACAACGGAATGATCCATCCCGAGCCATGGGTACATGGACTGCAATCTCTGTTGATATTGGGCATTAAGACTCTCAATATCAGACTTAAGAGATGCTTTTTCTTCTCTTAGATCATTCTTCTCCTGAGTCAACTGCTTCGAAGCAAAGCAACTAATGAACTATTGAACCAAATGGATCTCAAAATGATAAATTTCTTACAAAAATCACCTCGCGAGATTCTTCAGTAAGCGTTGAATATTCAGCTTTTAGTCTGTTAACCTGAGCAGTCAAGTCTTTCAGCATTTGAATTGTATCAGTAAGAATGGATACTTTGTCATTTTTAGGCCTATCTGGATCTGCATATAATCAAGCATGGAATTAGAGTTTCCTGGTTTTCCCCAACAAAAATAAAAAATCCAAAACTAAGTAAGCATTTATTAATTCGCAAACTAATGTCATTGGAAGGAAACAAAATCCTTATGTGAATTAATCATAATTTCAATCAGAATATTGCAAAAAGGTATTGATAATCAGCTCAAGTCATCACTGTTTATGCGTGGAAAAACAACTCTGATAGACACATAAAGAAATCAACCAAATATGGCAAATCAATAGCATCAAACTGAAAAGCTTTCCTTGTAAAGATTTATAGCAATTCCAATTCTTTATCTTTATCTTGTTTCTTATCATCCTTCTTTAGCAAACATTTGAACTTATCTGGACCTGCCGGTGGAGACTAAACTGTTACAAAGAGCATTAAGATGACAATCATTTGAGATTCTAAATGCCTAATTACTTTAAACTCCAAACATGCAGAACTTCTTACAGCATACTACACCAAATGTCAATGTGTCTTAAGTCCAAGGTAATCTATATAAAATTAGCATGATATGCTCGTACACCAAAAATAAATAAAAATTAATTGTTTTTGTACTTTAGGATTGCATGTAACTGAGATGTTTGTTTACCAAGGGCATTCCCCAACTCTGTGAATTGTTCATTCAGACGATCTCTCCTCAATTTTTCACGGTCGGCTTTTTGGACTTTTCTTGCTGCAGTAGAGTCCTTGACTTCTGCCTCAAACCTTTGATCATAGATTAACACACAGGAATAAAAAAAAGAAAACCTTAATATCAGTTGGGAAAGGAAACATGCATTTAAAATTGGAATTTTACATTCAATTGATACACATTGGCAAACATCTATTCACCGAGTACGGAGGATCTTACATATTATCGTAATTTCCCATCAGAAAAGAAAAATGAGAGCTTTATCTCGACATGCAACTCCTCATTGTAATTGCACCGTAATAAGAATTGAAAAAACTTTTCGTTTGTATTTCCTCATTGTAATGCAAATACCTATATCTCAGCTAAATATTCATTTAATACACCCTCACATGTGCTAAGCTTTCAGATAATGCAATACAAGATCGACAATGCACTTAGAGTAATGCAAAAAATAAAAAGATCTAGTCCGAGAAACTACGAATTTGATTGGGTTAAAAACCAGATCCGTACCTAAACTTTATATGATGGTCACAAAAAGAGTTTGAACTTTCAAAGGGGTAAACTGTCCAAACTTTATATAATGGTCACAAAAAGAGTTTGAACTTTCAATTGTAAATATTATGTCACTTATCTTTGGACAGTTTACCCCTTTAGTCACTAAAATGGTACAAATCCATTTTCATTATATGAAATATTGGAACTTCAAAGAGATAAAAAACAAACATTTTTCCTAAAGGAGCAGCAAGTAACCTCTACCTATTTCATATCTAATATTTTCTATCTAGAGATAAATTTAAACCAGCAAACCCACCATCAGTAAATAGTAAACAATCTTCAGCATTATATTCATACAATGTTCGATAAAATTCCACAATGAACAATACAAAATAAAATACCTAATTGTACTACATCAAAACAATCAATATCTATATACAAAAAGATCCGTAAATCAACTTATGTAGGAAACAAAAATCAAGATACCTACTATCGGGCTGCGATCGACTGGAGGGAACAAGCAAATCAGGCTGGGGCCGGAAATTATTCGGGGCTTGAATAGATTGAAACAGCGGGTCGGAGTTCAATTGATCCATACCTGAGAATTGAGATTGATTGTTGATCGAAATAGAAACCTAATTTTACGGATTCTTTTCAATTTCTTGGCCTTGTTATTGGTGAAATTCTGACTTTTTATCCATTTTGAAAGTTCTGATTTTGATTGGTGGCATCAGATTGTTGGGAGTTTCCATTATCCAGTTTGCAAAAATTTACAAGGCAACTGGACTTTCTGTTTGTAACAATGTAGTCCTTATAGTTTTATATTTGTGCTTTATAATCCTCATATTTTATTTTTATTTTGGTAATGGGCTGTTTTTAGGAATCAATAGCAGAAAACGCCCCTTAGACGTTTTATTTGCGATATTCATATATATTTAAAATCGCAGAAAACCCCTTACTCTAAACCTTTTGTGCAAAATACAACCTGTTTTGTGCAAAAAACTCTCTATCGTCCAATTCCCTTAGTTTGACCGTTAAAAATAGTAAAAATTGCCAAAATTAAATAGGAATAATTGCAGTTGCATATATTTTTTTATTTTTTTGCAAATTACACCAAAGTCTTTTATTTACACAACCCACAATCTCAAACATTTAAAACTTTATCTTCTTTACAGCAAAAGTCCCAAATCTTTCAATCGCATCAAATACTTATGTTAAAAACTAAAAAAAGAAAATAAATAAATATCATTTTCTTTTTCACCAAACTCCTCACCCTGTCTCCAACCCCAAAGTCAAAATCACATACACCACGACACATCGTCTAACGTCGCTACCACCCTCAAACCGCCACGATCGCTTCACCAAACCCAACCAAGTATGATTTTCTGATTAAGATTTCATTACACAATAAGCATATAAAATGAGCAAATAATTTTCAAAAAGAGAAGTAAATCTAAAAATAAAAAATAGTACAACATACCTAGCCAATTGCTCAAATAGAAGTGTTTTCCTTGAGCCCAAATGGTGTATATCACATTTGAGTTTTCGTTTTTCGCCCTGCAAACTGTGAATTTGAATGATATTGACATGTAGGGGTAAAGTACAAATTTGTATGTTCTGGAAAATAGAGTTAAAAATTAAGCACATAATTATTTATTAGGCAGTCAAAGTGGAGATTATTCATTTAAAGATGAAGAGAATACAGGTTATGGGAAAAAGAAAGTGAAAATTGGAATATCGGGAGTTGACTATGACGAGTCCATCTTCTTATTATAGCTCATCCATTAATGGCTTGAGATTGAGAGAAAAAATTATGGAAAAAAGATGAAGTAAAGTGGGGTGAGTGGGATGGGAAAGAAGATGAAGACGAGTTGGGTAGGATGAGGAAGAAAACAAAGTTTTAAAGATTATGAGCGGCACATATAAAAAATTTAAGGTATAATTGTAAAAAAAAAAGTTTGGTTATTGAAAATATTATTATTAGTTTTTTTGTTTCGTTATTTTTTGATGTTAAATTTAACGAATATTGACGATAGGGAATTTTTTGAACAAAAGGTTTCAAATAGGGGATTTTTTGCTATTTTCGGTAGGTAATGGACACATCGTAAACGAAAAAGTTTATGGGTTATTTTTAGGGTAATGCTACTGATACATCACCTTGTATATCAAAGTGTACATAATGGACATCTGGCACTCTTTCATTGAAGGGAGGGTTGGTGGGGTCGGCACCCTAAACATTTAAAACTTTATCTTCTTTACAGCAAAAGTCCCAAATCTTTCAATCGCATCAAATACTTATGTTAAAAACTTAAAAAAGAAAATAAATAAATATCATTTTCTTTTTCACCAAACTCCTGTCTCCAACCCCAAAGTCAAAATCACATACACCACGGCACATCGTCTAACATCGCTACCACCCTCAAACCGCCACGATCGCTTCACCAAACCCAACCAAGTATGATTTTCTAATGAAGATTTCATTACACAATAAGCATATAAAATGAGCAAATAATTTTCAAAAAGAGAAGTAAATCTAAAAATGAAAAATAGTACAACATACCTAGCCAATTGCTCAAATAGAAGTGTTTTCCTCGAGCCAAATGGTGTATATCACATTTGAGTTTTCGTTTTTCGCGCCTGCAAACTGTGAATTTGAATGATATTAACATGTAAGGGTAAAGTACAAATTTGTATGTTCTGGGAAATGCGGTTAAAAATTAAGCACATAATTATTTATTAGGCAGTCAAAGTAGAGATTATTCATTCAAAGATGAAGAGAATACAGGTTATGGGAAAAAGAAAGTGAAAATTGGAATATCGGGAGTTAACTATGATGAGTCCATCTTCTTATTATAGCTCATCCATTAATGGCTTGAGATTGAGAGAAAAAATTATGGAAAAAAGATGAAGTAAAGTGGGGTGAGTGGGATGAGAAAGAAGATGAAGACGGGTGGGGTAGGATGAGGAAGAAAACAAAGTTTTAAAGATTATGAGTAGCACATATAGAAAAATTAAGGTATAATTGTAAAAAAAGTTTGGTTATTGAAAATATTATTATTAGTTTTTTTGTTTCGTTATTTTTTATTGTTTTTAACGGTAAATTTAACAAATATTGACGATAGGGGGTTTTTTGAACAAAAGGTTTCAAATGGGGGATTTTCTGCTATTTTCGATAGGTAATGGACACATCGTAAACGAAAAAGTTTATGGGTTATTTTTATGCTATTAATCCCTGTTTTTAATATTTCCCCAATTTTACCAAGAAGTCGCGTTACAAACAAAAACATTTAAGTTCACGCGATTTCTTAGATTATTAAAGTCGTTGCTTCATCAAATAGAAAGGAAAATCAAGGCGAAACCCTTCCTCTAGGAGCACCTCGAAGCAAAGGAACTATGGCGGGTATGGGTGACGGGTATGTGGGCACGGCCCAGGACGCCGTGAGAATCCGACGGCTCGAGAAGCAGCGGGAGGCTGAGCGGCGCAAAATCCAAGAGCTCAAGAACAAAAGTGCATCCTCTAAAGGTCAACCCGGTCTCCTCCAGTTTGGGTCAAGCACCTCCGAGGTCCGTTTCAATTGAATTAAGAAATAGTGGAGTACCCATGTTTTTGTTATATTTATTAAGGTTTGATTGTTTGAATCGTGTTATTCAGATTCTTAAATTCAATTCAATACCACATCAGTTCTAGGGTTTATTTGTATATGTGAGCACTGAGCAGACACATGGAGTGTAATGAAGTATCTATTTGTTAGTCTTATTTATTAAATATGGTTGTTGGAATGGTATTGTTCAGATTCTTGAAACTGCGTTCAAGAAAGAAACTGTTGGTCTGGTGTCAAGGGAAGAATACGTTGAAAAGGTACCTTGATGTTACTGTTTAGAACTATATTTCGTGTTCCTTTTCTTCCAGTGATGCGAATAATTAAAGGTTGGGGGTGTGGTGCAGAGAGTGAATATTAGGACCAAAATTGAAGAGGAAGAAAAGGAGAAGCTTCAGAAGCTGCAACAAGAGTGAGTTTTTTTTTTTTAATTTTTAATTTTACTGTCAACTTTTACGATTCTATATAAGTTCCAGGTCTCTTTTATCACATAATATTGGGTATTTTTAAGTTTTATCTTTCCTTTTTCTCATAATATTGTGTTATAGAGAGGAGGAGCTTCAATTGCAGAAGCTCAAGAAGCGGAAAATAAGGGTAGACCCTCGACTATCTTTTTCAGATGATTTTGAGAATGACAATGAAGAGGAAGAGGATGAAAATAGTAAGCACAATTTCAATATTTTCCATTTAGAATTATGCTATCTATTGTTCAAGTGTTTGAACTTTGAATTGGAGGCTTGTGTACACAAGCACTGCTAGCTCCCTGCTATTCTTCTTAGCTAATGCTCTGGAGATGAACAATATCCATGATATTTTCCGTCATTGCACGTTATTTCGTTCTGTGATCTTATTCATGGGTTAGATATTTGAGTGTATATACGAATCACAAGGTTCACGGCAGACTTAGCAGTGTATATACACGTAGTTTGTCTGCCACGGGTCTCGGTTTGTATTACGCTTTGATGGGCTATTTTTCCTCCCAGATGACTGTTGTCTTTCCCTGCTCCACTTTATCTTTGTTGGGATTAATAATCAATTGATTTCATCTTGGTAGAATTGGTGGCTTGTATGTATATATGGGTGCGTAATTTTTATTTTATACCTTTGGGTCCCTGGGGTTGTTTGCAACCACTGAGAAAAGTTGGTGAAAGTATTTCCAGTGTAGAGACAACATCACTCAAATCATGGCATCCAAGGTGAACGTGGCTCAGTTAAAACACGGTGGAATTTATTTCTAGATATGTGAATTATCTTCCTGCATAAATTTCTTGACATTTGGACATGTTTCATAAGATGTTAAAAGTATTCATTGCATTAGAAGCAAGACTTGATGAGCACGTCTTGGAAAATAATGTTGAATTTAGGTCTATACTCCTGTTTAACATACTCTTTTTTTTTGTGTCTTTGAAGAAAATAAAGAATCCGAAAGGTTTGGGCAGAGAAAATTTGGTAAAGATCCTACAGTAGAGACTAGCTTTCTGCCAGACAGGTGTGATATCTCTTCCTCTTGCCCTTATACCTCATACATGTGTGTAACTGTGTACGTTTGTGTTGATGCTCGTGTGTTTCTATGCATTTTCATGTCTGCTCTATTTATTTTTTCTGCCATGCTTTTCGGACTTTTTACTTACGTTCGGCCTTTGGAGTTTGAAGCATACTCTTACAGTGAGAGAGAGGCAGAGGAACAAGCTGAGCGTGAAAGGCTGCGGAAGCAATGGCTTCGTGAGCAAGAACAGATTAAAAGTGAGTATGTTTTTACATCTTATAATATTTGCTGGTGTTTGAAAGAAGATAATTTTCTAAATATTTTTGTACACTTTCTTCTTGTTCCTTTAGACGAGCCTCTTGAAATCACTTACAGCTATTGGGACGGTACTGGCCATAGACGAGTGATACAGGTTACTAATTTCTGTATTTTTATCATACTTCAACAATTCCCCACCCGGTTGGTGCACTTCTACAAACGTGCATATTTTCTTGCAGACTTTCGTGGAATT